TCCCTACACCTCCACAGAATCTTCTCCTCTACGATGTGTACTACTTGACAGCAATGCTCCATCTAAGCTGTGGAGTCTTGTGAGCAAAAATTCTACTTTGTGAGCTACTGGCATTAAAGTTGTGAGGGAGCGATTTGCCTGCTGCACACATTAGTCTGCTCTGGAGCCACCCTTCCTGAGCGAAGACAAAAATGTGTGAGCCGGAGGCTAAAAAATAGTGAGCCAGTTTGGTGTAGTGGGTAAGTGTGCGGACTCTAATCTGGGAGAACCGGGTTTGATTCCCCACTCCTCCACTTGCACCTGCCGATGTGACCTTAGGTCAGTCACAAGCTCTGGCACAGCTGTTCCTGAAAGAGCAGTTTGTGTCAGATTTCTCTCAGCTCCACCCACCTCACAGGGTGTCTGTTGTGGGGAGGGGAAGGGAAAGGAGTTTGTAAGCGCTCTGAGACTCCAAGTGAAGGGCGGGGTATAAATCCAATCTCTTCTTCTTCTTCTGAGCTAGCTCACACAAACTCAACTTAGAGGGATCACTGCTTGACAGTTCCTTGCAACAGCTTCAATCCCACGGAAGATCTGTGCTCAAGAAAAGCTCTTGTGCCATTGGAAATGCAAGAAACTCATTGCAACGAGCCCTTGCAGTAAGTCAACTTCACCATTTTCCATCTTGTCTTTTCACTTGCACAAGATCAAGCACAAAGTATACTTCAGCAACACCTCCTCTGCGATAATGACCACCTTTGATCAAATTATATCTGGCTTCCAAACTGAATTACTGATTAAAATCACCCTTTGCATTTTGCTTTTCATACACAGCATCAGTGATCAGAATGAAAAATCAGTGCTTGATCTTATGAGAGCGGCTGTTGGGCAAATGGACCTACATTAATTAACACTTCTCTTCCGTTATCACATTGTGGGATTCAACACTGATATTTTATCCCATCCCTGTAAGTAAGTCCCCAAAGTTATTTGCCACAACCATTTTTACTCCTAGTCATTTGTGTCCCAAACAATATCCACCAAGGGAAGACCATCTACAATTCACAACTATGTTCAAAACTATATATTATATTCATTGAAATACAAATAAGGGTTAGTGGTCACAACCCAATAGAGTATGTAAACATAGATCCAACAATTTGCTCATAACAATTAAACATAGTTTAAACAAGAAACATATTCAAGACCAACAGTAGGCTCTTCTGTAATTCCACACGTAAGTAGTGTCCATAGACCACCAAACAGAAGGTAACTATGATAGAAGTAATAGAAGACTCCCACTGTAATAGAAGACTCCCACTGTGGAAAGAATAACAGCCGAACACCTCTCCCAGGTATAAATCAAGCATTTCAATTATCTTCAACAGCGGCTGGTAAGACGGAACCCAATTTCCAAAATAACATAGGCACAGCTCCTAGGATTCCATTGTAGATGGTCTTCCCTTGGTGGATATTGTTTGTGACTATATTTATACACTAAGGGTGCCCTGTGTCTTAGTCATTTGCCTCCAGCAGAAAGAGAAGACGTAACCCAAGTCTCACCATTTCCAAGTCTGGTCACCTGAGGGCAACACTTGCTCACCAACAGGTGAGCCGCTTCTTACAGGCTGGCTGTATCAGATCCTTTCTTGTTTCCCCCTTACTGAAATCACCAGGATTTTTACAGCGGGCACTGAAGCCATATCAGGGGGCAGCAGGACTTTGACTTCCTGGCCAACCCTGTGGCTCTCTCATGCCCGGACAAGTGGTTATCTCTTCCCTCTGTAAAACAGCTTAGCTGAGGGTGAAGGAGTAACTACAGTATAAAGTAATAAAGTTCATAAACTTACTTTTGCTGCCCCTATCTGTTCTTTACGAAACTTCTCCAGTGGTGCAATTAAAACATCGTTGGCATTCTGGATCTGAAACAAAAAAAACCAGCACGTTCAAAAACACTGCCTTCTCAGAGAACTCTTGCTCACACACCTCTTATTTGCGGAAGTACTCAAATCTATAAAGTAAGCAGGCTTGGAACTGGAAACTGAAGCCCCAGTCCAGCTAAAATCAGTTGACTTAAGTTCTATTTTAAACATGGTGAGTTTTAATTAACTGCTTTCGTGGACCTCCTAAATCTGCTCATCAACAAAGCTGCAAAAAGAAAAATCGTTGTTTAATTATGCATAAAACTAATAGCAGCCTGGATAGCTCAGTTTAACCTGAACTCAACAGACCTTGCGAGCTAAGCAGAGTTGACCACAGTTAGTACACACATGGGACACACAAGAAGCTGCTGTATCCTGAATCAGACCATCGGTCCATCATCAAGGTCAATATTGTCTACTCAGACTGGCTGCGGCTCTCCAGGGTTGCAGGCAGAGGTCTTTCACATCACCTGCTGCCTGGTCCTTTTCACTGGAGAAAATGGGGATTGAACCTGGGACCTTCTACAGGCCAAGTAGATGCTCTACCATTGACCCACGGCCCATCCCCTAAGTAGCTGGATGGGAGATCGCCAAAAAAGATAGGGGGTTGATACACAGGGGACGGCAATGACCAATCTCCTCTGCTGATCTCTTGCCTGGAGTGCCCTGAGATTAGGGTTGCCACGAGTCAGTTGCAACTCCACCTCAGGTTCTTCTTCATAGAACTCATAGCAGCTATATTGCTTACAACACTGAAAGATTAATTGCAGATTTCATACAGCATTAAGTAAACACACGAAGGTACCAGGAGGATATTAGGAAAAACTTTTTTTACAATAAGAGTTGTTCGTGGAATCAGCTATCTTGGGAGGTGGTGAGCTCGCCCTCACCAGTAGTCCATAAGTAGCAGCTGGACAAACCCCTGTCAGGGATGCTCTAGGCTGATCCTGCATTGAGCAGGGGGTTGGACTAGACGGCCTGTATGGCCCTTTCCAACTCTGTGATTCTATGATTCTATAACATATTGCAATTTAAAGGAACCCTGTGACTGTCTTTTGTAAGAATAAGACAGGAGGACAGAAAGAGACAGATGAACAGAGACATCTGGGTAACTGGCAAGGACTGTATATGGAAAGTGCAAAGGGCACGCATCCATAACGCCAGTGTGGGTGTGTTTAATGAGGACTGGTTTCAAATCCCCACATTCTGGAAATGAAGTTCATTTCAGGGCAGTCGCTTTGACTCTGCCCAATCTACTTCACAAAGCTGTTGTTGATGGTAAAATAAAGATGTAGGGAAGCATCAATGAACCCTCATGAAACACAATGGGTCTTATTTCTGGGTAAACACACACAGAAATGCTGTGCATCTCACACAAGGTGCACAATGAAAGTTTTCTTGATACCCAATTTTTGGTTGTGGTTTTTGTTAGCCATTCAGTTGTGTCCGAATTTTTGGTAGCCTGGTGTAAATTAATTTTTTCAAAGCAGAGGGCATATACAGAAACCTAGCCAAAATATATTTAGCTGTTTGTTCATTAAGTGTTTTATTTAAAAATATGTCAACTATATTACATCCTCTCACTGCATTAATTACTAGTCATCTTTCTAGATGGGAAATCTCAATAGCTATGCCATCTGTCCTGGGAGTCTACATTTGTGAGGATGAAAGTCTGTTGTTGTTGTTTTTAATAACCTTATAAATATTTAAAGCAGAAAAAAATCATTACACTTAAGTTCCCAGAACTACAGTTATTTTATAGTAATTAAGTTTTAGTACTTGCACATTGATTTACTTCGGTGATCACTGGGGGGAATAGGATACTGCTTCAGAACTTAATATGACCATTTTACCTCTAGATAATGTTTGTATTTGAGGGGAAATTTTCATTTATTATACAACAAACAAGAGCCTAATGGCACCTTAAGGGCTAACAGGTTTCTATTTTAGTATTAGCTTCCATGGACTAGGGCCCACTTCATTTGTTATTATCATCTTCACAAGTACTTAACATACCAAATGAACCACTGAGGACATTTTGATAGTCGGTGCTTAAAGCTGTCCTGCTAAACGAGGGAAGAAGAAATTGCTAACGTATAAGTAATTACTCTTCAGATCAATTAAATTCTGTAAACCTTGCCTATAGGGAGTTTAAAAATGACTCTGGGAGACACACAGCTTGTGACTGAGCCATCTTTCCAACAGATTTTATTGGCAAGTTCACAATTTATTCGTGGTACGTGATATACTACACTGTTTTCTAACAGGAGACTGTGAATTTTATTTATGTTATTCACAGTCCGCCTCTCTCACAGGCACTCCAGGCAGATTACACACAGTGAGTCAGTACAATCAACAAAATGGGACACTCAATAACTGATGCATTAGGATATTAGAAGTCTGGAACCACCAGAAAGAAACAGAAGCATAGTGTAAGTATTAACATGATACATTAAGCGATACAGAGATTACACAATAGAATCCTAATTACAATACGCTGTATACAGGCGTATAGACCACAAGTCCCAATCATTTGTCCAAGTAAGTCTGTGAACCATTTTGTACCATGCAGCTTTATTACCTGCGCAGAAGAGCCCTGTGGAACAGTCCAGCTTTGCATAGTTTGCGGAAGGCCAAGAGAGTGGGGGCTTTCCTGACCTCCTCGGGCAGTCCATTCCACAAGGCGGGGGCCACAATGGGGAAGCAGTTGCTGGTTTTGTCCATTTGCAGGGCAGCACCTAAAGAAGCCCCTGCTGACAGGAATGGAGTTGTCATGGCAGAGCACAGGGAGAGAGGTGGGACCGAGAGAACCATACAAGAATTCAAGCTACAAGTCTGAGAAATCCTTATTTATTAATTAAAATATTTATAGTCTTATGGAGGAAACCAGCAGGCACATGGGGGCAGCTGTCAGTGATTGTGTGACGTCATTTCCAGGAAAAAACCCAGAAGTAATTGCATGCCTCTCTAGAAATTACTGGAAACCAAAGCTTGGGGAAATTCCTTTGAACCTCTGAAAAACTAGCCTTACGATAAAGCCAAGACTCAGGTCCTATTGTTGTTGGGAGGAGGGAAAAAGGGCCCGAGTAGTATGCCTCCACTTTATCATAGCAATTCTTCCCACCTAAGAAGGAGGAGGAGGAGGAGATTGGATTTATACCCCATCCATCATTACCTGAAGAAGTCTCATAGCAGCTTACAATCTCCTTCCCTTCCCCTCCCCACAACAGACACCCTGTGAGATAGGTGGAGCTGAGAGAGCTCTTTCCAGAACTGTTCATGAGAGAACAGCGCCAAGAGAACTTGTGACTGAACCAAGGCCACACCGGCAACTGCATGTGGAGGAATGGGGAATCAAACCCAGTTCTCCCGGAGTAGAGTCTGCGCTCCAAACCACTACACCAGACTGAAGAGGGAGGAGATTTTTCTACTCTTCTTCACCTCTCTAACCCCTCAGGGTGAGAAAATACCCCAGTGCTACAGGTGACCATCTCTTCAGGACACAGTTAAGTGTCTAGAACCTACAACAAAGGTATGGACTTTTTAAAAAAGCAGCACCAATAAACCAAGTTAATTAAGAAGGACCCCCTGACCTGCCTGAAGCACCTGAAAGAAGTGTGAATTTAAGAATCTGAGGTGGAGACACTCAATTGACAGTTATAGTTTAGTGCAGGGGTGTCGAGCTCATTTGTTATGAGGGCCAGATCTGATATAAATGAGACCTTGTTGGGCCAGGCCATGTGTGTCATAAAATGTAATGTCAGGTAGCAGAGATATAAAATTTATAAAGGACCCAAACATAAAGGGTGTTTTTTTACACAAAATGAAAATATGCTTAAAACATTAGCACTCTTGCAATATTTTGTTTATTTAACAGTGTTTGATAATTGACTCTCTTGCTCTGAATTATTGCATCAAAATGTCTGTGCTGCTGCAATCTTGAGTATGCTGTTCAGGTGTGTATCTGTAAGCTGCAAACCTACGATGACGCAGCAGCAGCAGAACTGGAAGAAGCAGAAGACAGCCAGTTCCACTGTGGGCCTGATAGAAGCCCTCCGGGGGCCTTATCCGGTCCCCGGGCCGCATGTTTGACACCCCTGGTTTAGTGCTTGCCTAAATTAGTTTTGCTTCCTTCAGCACAAAACCCAGTAAAGAAAGAAAAAGTCTGGCATTAGCCACTGAAAAAGAATGGCTTACAGCCAAAGACAATGTGCCACTTGTGTGGATTTGACTGAATAGGTTTGTAAACTACCTAGGCCAATGAAGATTTAGGGGCCATCTTCGTAAACTGAGATCAGTACAGAATCCATTCAGTTTCAGTCAAGCACCTGCTGACTGGAACTGTGCAGCCCACTTCTTTGTCCAACTTCCAGCCCCCCTCCAACTATAAAATCAGGAGTGGTGTTACAACAGGTAAGTATCCAATTAAGGTCTAGAGTCTCCTTTCCTTGGAGGTACCTTGTCTGTTGCTGGTGACCCTTTCTCCCCTTCTCAAAGGTAAGTTTCATTTCTGCTTCAGAAAGTGAACAGAGAGTGTCAGTGGTGGGAATGTGTTTCTAATCCAAGCTCTACTCACGAACATTCAAGAAGACTCACTTGCAAGGGAACCTCAAAAGTGGGAGTAAAAACTGAGGCAAGTCCAGGAGAGTTTGCCTAGTCTGCAGTACATGTGCCACATGACTCCAGAAACAGAGGTTTTGGCACTCCTGGACAAGAGCCAGATTTTTCTTGTTTCCACAGAGGAACAAAAGTTTTTGGAGAACATGCCTGCACAACAGATCAGTTTCAGATTTAGAGTGGACCAACTCTAAGATTCTATGAAGGTTTCTTATTGTTTAGCCTTGAAGGGGGCAATTCATTTAAGCCTCAAAACTTCCCTGTTCCACTGAATAGAAAAATGGCCCTTCATTCACTTGCCGGCCTGGGGCAAGTGATACTCTGTATTCTTGGTGTTTGGGGGGAGGCAACAGTGGGAGGGCTTCTAGTGTCCTCGCCCCACT